AAAAATAGCTTCAAAATAATTTATACAACTTCCAGATAACTTCAATAGAGCCCGGGTCTCACCTTGTATATGTTAATGTACACAGAGCAGAGCACACCGAGCAGATCACACTTTACTTTTCCCCGCTCGGCTTGCAGTTGCGTCATTGAAGACATGTCCAAGCACACGTCATTAATTTCTGTCATTTCAATCTCTGCCATGGACATCTCAGTTCTTCTAGCGCCTCTAGCAGGCGACCTTCTGAGAATTTGAAGTGCTCCAGCCTGGAATAGGCGACAATCTGATCCTGCCATGGCCAATGACTTAGATACACAAACCAGTGCTAGCAGTCAGTCCTTCATAGTCTGTGCAGACATATCGGAACTTCGCGACAAAGACCATCGCCGTCTCTCCCTCCTTGTAAGGAAAGGCAACCCTTTGCATTTGATTTTTGATTTCAATTTGTACTCAGTGCTTTTGCACTCGCAACTTAACTTGGACCAGATTTATCAACCCAGTCCCGGAAGTCACTGGGCCATGAGCCATCCACCAGGCTGCCAAAGCCCGTCCAAATTCTGGAGAAGAAAGTTGGGTCTGCTTAAGGCCGGGGCCACCACTCGTTTTCTCCCCTCGCTATCACGATACCTCGGCAGCGCAAGCAGAATAGATAATACCACACGGTTTCCATCTCAATTGCACAACCACAACATGGTTGAAACCAAGTATAAGATTCCGGGAGGCCACCGTTTTTTTGGCTTTGGGTCTCCGCGCGCGCGCGCCTCCGACAGCCGTTTTTTAAGACCCCTCCGTGGACCCAAGCTTCCAAAACGGTGACCTTCACGGACCTTAATAAAACCAAGATACTCAAAAGTGACAGGATCTTTGCTAGCAGGTCGCTCGCTCTTCGGGGGCACCCGCATGTTCATGAGGACATCGAAAGCTTCTGTTGAATACAAAGCTGTCGGCTTGAGGGTTGGTGTTCTGAAGGCCGCCATGTTGATTTTGTTTAATTTGAGACGTTGCCCCGTCCAGCCCCTGCACTCAGCCTCATCGAAGAAAGAAACTACGCTTTGCCAAGATGGCAAAGCTGTCATGATCGATCGCAGGGGCTGTTCCAAAACAGGAAAGCCACCAAATGCCCAGGCTAGCAATGCAAGAACAGCTGACCTTGATGCAAGGATATTGCCAAGGTCGACATAGCTCAAATCTTGCCTCCACCCTAGTGGAAAGGCTATGGACCTTTGATGCGTCCCGGAATTCATGAAATTGAAACTTGTGCAAACTGTGGCCAAATGGACAAGGGCGCCGCGCCGGATACATAGTATGGTGACAACCGCGCCAATGAGGCCCATGGTGCTGGCCAGTCATGCGACTGGCTTCCTCAGATCATGCAAAAATAATGAACTCCATGTGGTGAACGCAGAATGCAATTTAGTGACCCACTCAAGATGAAACTTCTCAAGCTTCGCTGAATGTCAAACGCCAATGCCCCCAATCCAAGTTCTGTAAACCCTTTGGCTACTTGGGATGGCGCTTCATTGCCCGCAAAGAACTCAATACAGTGCAGATCATCTGGCACTTCAAACTCCATCATACGTCTGACATGAAAGGCATGGATGACCAGTTCCACCGCAATCCATGGCATCTCCAAGTTGGTGAGGGCCAGAACCTCACGTAACTCCTGGAAAGATAAAGCAGCTAGCATGGCTGTCAGCAGCCTTGCGTCAATCATTGCGACAAAGATTGCCTAAAACCCAAAAGCGTTGACCGCTGTGGCGGTCGTGTGTGTACCGATGCGCACGCGCATATTCAGAAAAAGTTTCCCTGAATATGGTTTTGTAAGGTCAAAAGCTCTGGTACGCTTGACCTGTGTATTGGTTCATAAGTATTGAATGTGTTTGCATTGATTTTATAATCGACCAATGGGCTGTGAACCAAACCTTTCAAAATCACAGAAGGACAGGATTCGCATTCTGTACCCACTCCTCTTTAGTAATACTGACTATACGCACTCCACCAAAACTGAATTGCACACAAGACTGCGTGGCGGGTCATGACCTTGCAGAACTCGAAGGCGCTGAAGAAGGTCGCTCCTCTTGTTGGCGTCCTGCAAGTGATGGACTGGACTAACGCATTGGGCTAGCGTGCGCAACAACAGACACACACCTCTTATAGTCAACCAATGAAATCCCCATGCTCATATGTTGCTATTTGGGGCCGGGGCCCCACATGGGGGGAAGACATGCATGCACTCCTATATACACAATAGATTTTAGTTACATAATATTGTTGATTTCCCTTCTCCGCTGGACCTCTGACGCCAGCTTTTCAGAAAGCTTTCAGCCACTCCAGAATGCGCACTTTTTGATCCATCAATTCTGCTTTGTGCCACCAGAGGTATATATCGGATCGTCTGCAACACCCTTCAGCATCGCAAGTGTCAGAAAAACTGGAGCTGTTCTCAAAAGACACGAAGACCCAACCAATGGCGACTGGCCACAGCTGTGGCCGAAAAATGTTTCAATCAAAAAAGAGGCCCACATGCGCCAGCAAAATGTCTCGTGGCTGAGGCGAACCACGGTTGCCCACACCTTTCAGAGCAGAGCCACGCCTCCCTCTGCAGCATGTCGGAGTAGTGAACAACGTCACGTACCGCTAAGCTCCCGGCAGTCAAAGGTTGAGCGTTGATGGCACTAAGCTAAACCAAAACTGTCACGCAGGTGTGAAATTGAAAAAACTAGATGAAACGGGTGTCGATATTTGCACATGCTTGTTGCAACTTTTGCATCCGCAATGAGAATCTGCACCGGGGCATTTTTACCACTGACTTCCGGACTCTTGGTTTTCTTCTTTCACCCCTGGAAGGTCCATCTGCTGGATTTGACTCACTGGGGATATAGATCAAACGCAAAAGGAAGTCGCAGCCCAACGCCAAAGCTGCGATGTGCCTCATAATGCCCCGCAAGCCTGGGGCTGAACTGCGCCCCTTTGCCGCAGCGCCCAAGACTGCCTTAGCGTCGACCAGCAGAGGAATTCGGTGACTGTGATTCTTTGCTGAGCGGGAAAGCCACTTGATCGCAAGCAAAAGCCCATGCGCCTCCAAAATCCCAGAGTGTGCCACCCAGCGCGCTCGCTTGCAGATGACTGTGCTGAAATCTCTTTGGCGAAAAGGCAGCTTGTGCGGAACACCAAGACGATCCTTATCAGGCGGGTCGCCTGGCTGCTTGTACAACCGCACGTAGTCGCCATGCCGCTCAGCTAGCTGACCCAGCCTCTCTGCAACTTGTCGAGAGCACTCGAGGCTTGCCATTCCAAAACCGAACTCTGGACAAGCATCGCAAGCTGTAACTCTGCGCAAGAAATCACGCGACAAATTGGCCCCCATGAGCGGCATGAGGAATGTTATCACTGCAATCTCATTCCGGACAGATGTGGGAAGCATCACCGGTACAGCTTGGGCATCACCACGGACAAAATCATACACCCGGTCGAAAACTGAAAACTGAAAACAAAGGCCGCTGTAGCAAACAGAACCACTGCGCCACTCCAAGCGCTCTGCTCAACGCTTTTGGGGAAGCAGCTGGTCTCAGCAAAAGGCCAATAAACCCAGCAAAAAGGCTAAACAGCTTGGCAGCATTTGGCTCGACACCTAGCGGCTGCGCGGTCAACTCACAACCAAGGGCGGCCATCTTGGGCATCCAGTCTACATCCTTTGCAGCATTCTTTGGCATTCCAGCTTTTGCCATTTCTGCGTCCAATCGTTGCAAGCGTTCTTTGGCCAAACTTTTTGAACGATGTATGAAAATGGTGTCATCAGTAGCAACGCCACAAAGTTCTGATTGGTCCAAGGGCAAAGGCTGCTCCATGCACAGAAAAACAGACTCTGGTACTCCACTTCGCAAGCAGCAGCTTACAGTGCACTCCTGAGCTATTGCCGACGACCAGCTGAAGCCCATACGCCAGACCGTGCTTGCTGGAAAAAGGAACGTGTCCAACTTGGCTACTTGGTCCTGGTCATCCACTATGAAGCTCCGGAGCTGTTCCAACCCGTGACCACTTGCTCGCACCAGCTCCCTCAAAGTGACCGGCGGCTGCCCAAACCACTCCTGCATACTGTCCGGCGCTTTGATGACATCAAAGCATGTGCTGACGTCACGCTTGGAGAAAAAACAGCGGCTCATCACTTTTTGCATGTATGTCTACAAAGCAAGCAGGATTGGCTAACAACCTAGGTTTTGGGGGTGTGGCAGCAGCTTCGGAAATCAACGACCCGTTCCAAACCTCTCTCTGTCGACCTGGAGTGGACTTTGGCACTGTGAAGACATCCGCCACTGCCCGAACACAACGTCTCAAGCAAACTTTCCCACAAACCAACTGACGATGCACCAGCTTTATGTACTCCTGTCTGTCACGACCGACCGGGCCACGTGCTCGCACTGTGAAGCTGAGGTCCTCGGAGAACAAGTTGTGGGCGTTTGAAACGACATTGAAAAGGTCTTGCGAAATCAAATCACTAGCATCACATGTGCCTGCTCGAGCAGGGATATCCACAGCGTCTGCTTCAAGCTTGGTCCCACGAGTTTGCTCAACAGCTTCGAACTTCCTGAAGCCAGTGTTCCAGTCAAAGCCCGCAGGGAATTGGGCAGACAAACGCTCCAAGAAAGCAGTGCATCTGGAGGCGACATGCTCAATCAACCGCAGCTGGCTCGCAGTAGGTTCAAGTCTTGTTGGCCGGCTTCGCTCCAGCTTGAAATCCACGGCAAGAAAATTTAGGGCAGAGATGCACGCATTCAACAGCTTGTAGCAAACCGGCTCAAGGTGCCTTGGGCAAGAGACTGAGTCCGGCCAGCCACCAAGAAGAGGAACTGGCAAAAGGTCCCGCTTTCTGCCAGAACCTGCGTCTTCATGTTTCAAACATGCCTGCGCAAAAACGCTGAAGGGAAGATCTGGCTGCTGCCAGACTGAATCCAAGGCCTGCATCAGACTGTCCGAAAAAGAACTGGAAACCGTGTTTTCGACATGGATTTTTAACCCTGCTGCACGACACCATTGCCGTTGTTGATGCCTGTTGCCACTCACAAGGCTATTCACTAGCCGCAGCAGTCTCAACTTGTGGCGACGGTATCCATTTCGGATCTTTCGTGCAGGAGAGGACTGCTTCTGGCCAGTCTGAGGCTGCAACGACATGTCGACGAGCGCCACTCCCCAAAGGGCGGAAAGCTCAAAAAACAAGTGATCGCAAGAAAAAGACCCCCAAACCGCCAGGAGAAACAGTAACGAGACATGGCTGCCCGGCTCCCCCGTGCCTCGAAAATCTTTGCTTGAACAAACGGAAAGCTTCAGAAAGTCACCAGTTGATGCCCAACTACGTCGGTGCTTTCAATCTTTCAATCCTAATCTCTATATCACCGATCAGGTCATGCAACAATATCTGTCTCATAAGTATTGATGAAGGAACCCCATGCACATGTTGCTACTTTGAGGCTGCAGCCCCACAGGGAAAGACATGCATGCATCCCTATATGCGCAACAGGTTTAAAGCTTATTGCAAAAACCAAAACTTGCGCTGCTTTGACTGCTGTAATTAAAGCTGTAGAACATAAAAGCGCGCGTTTTCCCCATTTTCCCCATAGCATTGCTCAAGTGGCCTGCAAGGCCCATCACTCTAGGTCAGAGCGGCCCTTAATGTGGTTCAATTTCTCAACCACGTCCTCTACAGATTGTGTGCCTTCATTAAGGTCTGAAATCAAACCTTTGACAATCGTTTCATGCTCATCCGTCACTGTGGATGATAGCTGGGCCAGCTGTTTGCCATCCGCAGTGAAACAGATCGCAGATACAAACGTGTGGCCACCACCCTTGACTGCACGCTTGTGCTTCTTCAAGGCAAATTTGGGCTTTGCTTTCGGCTCTGCGGCCTTCTTGGCCTCAGCCTTCTTAGGTTTCTTGGCGCTCTTCTCACCACTAGGCTTCAGTTCAGACGCCAATCGTTTCTGGCCTCAGATTTGTGGTAATGTATTTGGTGAAAAGCCGGCCTGGACACACAAGCAAACACGAGAATGAATGAGATCAAGACAATTCGGATCAGCAGGTGGTCCAGGGTTGTTGTTAAGAACCTTGTAAACTTCCTTCAGTTTTGCAAGGGCTGGAACTGTAAACTGGAAAAATGCTTCAAAGAAAGAACGCCAGGTCCCGTTCACGTGAACATAATGAGGATGCACAAGATACACATTCAGCTTCAGCACGCGCAGCCAAAAAAACA